TAAGAAAAGGACTTGTATCGCTGAAGTTTCTCGGAAAGAATTTCTACGAAAAATTAACAAACGAACACAGACGTAACAATATCTTTATTTAGATATACGACAAAATAAAATATCAAATGTTATTATACACTAGTTCATATTACAACATATTTGTATACATATGTTCCTTTGAGGGGAAATAGTGTGGCGTAACATCACACAAAATTGATCCTCTTAATAATTTTAACCATCGTAAGTTGGTGTATATGGTTCCTTTGAGGGTAATTAGTGTGGTTTAACATCACACGAAGTTGATCATTTTAATCTTTTGAACCATCGTAAACTGTCGAAGATGGTTCCTTTAAGGAAAACTAGTGTGGTGTAACTCACAATAACGTTGATAGGCTTAATAATTTAACCTCCTAATGGAGGTGGGACGTATGAAACTTTGACCATAAGATGTATTTTAATGCTAACGATGTTTAATTGCTACAGTTTAGAATTTTTCTTTTCTACGCACGATGACTTCTTTCCTTTGTAAGTGAAGCAGTAATTGTTACTAGTATTAGGCTAGGACTTAGTAAACGACCCAAGCTCTTTCGTCAACAGTTAGGCCTTTAGTGTGAGCCAAGTAGCTATATTTCACTATTTGTTTTACAGACTTGTAACTTAACTGGAAGCTTAGCACTGTTTTCAACATTTCAACGAATATGATCTTTTATCTTTAGCAACCGAAATTCGTTTAAGTTTTGCTTGTATTAGTATTTCAAGCTAATGATTTTTGTGTGAAATTTATCGTAGCCTACGCAGATGCTAACTCATTCTTAAACTAAACCTATTTATTATGATGCTATAAAGGATTATTTAATCGTATATATTACTTTAAATTCAGCATACATTTACATAGGTAATACTTATGTATTAGATATATCACATCACCATATTTGTCCCTACATGTTTTTCACTATTACCAAACAAAGTGGTCATTTGATGTAGACGATACATATGGCTGTCAGCTTCAAGTAAAAGATGGAATGCTCTATCCGCTAATATGTTCTGGTCGCTCTTTCTGGCAAATCAAAAACACCTTCCTTTTTTGTTAAAGTATGACATTTTGTTTTTTTATCCGAGAAACAAAGCACTCACTTAACCTAATTTTATTCAAAATAAATCATAGAATAAATAAACATTTTGTCTTAAGGTTGGTCATTTAAGAAATGGCATGTTTTAAAACATGTATAAAAATCTAAAACAAACTTTAAATGGAAAGAACTAATAATTATAACACTAAAACTTTCACGTCTGTTGATTCCAACCCATATTGTATCATTATATTTTTCCTTTGTTTAAAGTAGCTACAAACAAATGAGAAATGTAGGAAATTTAAAGTTATGATTTCGGTTTTATAGTACTATCAATCAGAATAAGAACTAATAACTTAAGAAACATAAACAGAACCTTTCAAATAATTTATACATAACCGTGACTTGTTACAAAAATATTAAGTAGAAATTCTCATTACTTGATTAATACAAATATTAACATGATGAAATGATGATTTATCGTATTAATAAAATATTAAGTTTATGGAAAGCATCCAAATTTATTCTTATATAAATTATCTCTGGATCAAATATAGTTTTAAATAGGTTTGGACGAAGATACCCAATTTTAACCCCTTATTGCACACATTATGAAAATACGGAGGAAAAAATGTTTTCTTTTAATTTTTTGCTTAAATATGTCTATTTTGCGCAAAAAATATTTTTGTGAAATATATTTTAGTATGTAACGAAAGAGCGCGTTATCTAGAAGTAACACCCGTGCCACGTTCCTTATAGACATGGAAAAGCAAAAACAGAAAAAAAACTACCATCATGTTATCAAATATTAAAAAAAACAGGCAGATGTACCAATAAATCACTGTTTGTACAAACGTTGTTTTTTAAACATGTACTTGATGATCACTTGTAATACACTCGAAAAACATATAAGTCCACATTTGATTTACTTGCAACAAGATAATTTGCTTTAACCATTAACCATGTATTGCACAAATAAAAAATTTTTGTTAGTTAATACACAAACATATTATGTAGCTGAATTCTCTTTGCTCCGAGTATTAATCTTTTTGAGTCATGAAATTATTTTTCTTGGTTCCTCAATTGCACAATTTTTAATCTTAATTTTAATTGATTTTGTACAACATACGTTTGTCTCATATTCCAAACCGTTAACAGTTTAAAAATAAAACTCAGACATTCCAACAATGCACTATAGAGGTCACTACAAAATCATCAAATAGAGTAACACGTTACTTGGAATTCTCAGCTTTACTCCGTTCATGGGTAATAACAACATCAGATTCGAGATTATTTTGTGTGAAATAGTGTTAGGACATATTCCCAAAACTGACAGCTGTAGACCTATATATGCAACTACATCAGTTTTTGTATACTGCAATATTCCACTAGAAATATTAAGAGAAATGACACTAAGAACTATTAGAGAAGGTGATGATTCCCTGCTATACACGAATTTTCTCTCTGTTTATAGATGTACATATTTAAAATCATAAATTTCCTGTGTATTTTCGCAATATTTCTTATATTATGTATAATGTTTTGCAACAGAAATAACTAGCTTAAGGTCGAACGTAGTGTAGGATATCAGGTACAAAAATTAGAATGTTTCCATTTTTAAAAAACAAAAAGAGTTCTTTAATGCTACCGCCATATGATTGATATACACCTCAACTGCGTTGATAATACGAAAACAGATAAAACACTTGGGAATTTCATTATTTTAACCCTTTATCATTTCGATCTAGTAACTGTGATAACACTGTGTGACCTTCAACATCGAAATAGATTCACAATTATGAATGTGAAAATTTTAGGTACATATTTTTTTAAATAAAAAAATTGAAGTTTAATGACATTAGACATAGGAGATATGAGCACATTGGTAAGTTAAGTTTTAGCACAATTCATTATCCTACTTTTTCTTACGTGTGTTATTTTCAATATCCTCATCTTTGGGAGTCACCTCGATGATCCGCTTACCTCTGTAAGACCCTTCGAAGTTTCCCACCCACGGGTATTGGAATGGACACGACATGCAAGTTTCCATGTAACGGAGATCATTGATTCCTTCACCTTTGAAAGATAGGGCGCATGTGGTGGGGATGTTACAAGCAGGTTCGCGCTTCTCACAAATCCAAGGGACGTAACTGCTACCTAATTGACTATTAGGCACCGGATTCCTTATCCAGAATAGGGCCTGCTGCATAGTGACAAACCAAGCATCGGAATATGTTGCCAAGATGTGATCTATAAACTTATAAAGTGCTTTGATTTTCACTTTCTCGTTGAACCAATTTACACGAAAAAAAAGACCTAAAGGAGCTCTATTGGTTTTGTAATGGCGCAGGAAGTTCTCCATCAGGAAATCGAAAACGTCCTCTTCAAAATTAGGCAAAACACACTGATCAGCCAAGAAACATTGACCACCCGTTCCATCTTCCATGAACAAGGTATTCATGGGTATCTCCCAAATTCCCGGGAAAGAATGAGTTGGGCATTTGTCTGACAGGCACCTGTGAGGAATCTTGTGGTCCAGGGTGTAAGGCCATACAGGAGTGTTGCTCATGGGTACAGCAATTGAAGAATCGTATACAAACCCATAGTCAAAGACCATAGATGCCATTATATTTCCTCCAGGTTTTAGATATGGTGCTCTTATTCCCAACAAGGAATCACGAGAAATGTTGGCAAACTTGATGAGGATTTCACGCTGACCAACCATTTCTTCAGTCCAGTTCTCGTAAGAGGCTTTTGACCACCAGTCTTCAGGCTCACGGTGACTAATAAAAAAAAAAGAGAAATGTACAATGGAATTTTTATTCACATAATAGATTTATGAAATATGAACTTAATAATTTCGTTGACCTATTTGTCTGCAATGTCAATTTTATGAATTAATTGGAATACTTTTTTTCATACTTTATCGATAAATATGTACTTCAGGCATATAACACCAAGACTGTCTAACTTCCTAACACTAAACCGCTACTTTACGATGAACAATTATATGAATATGTTATAACCTAATATCCTAATTAATCACATACATATAAACTCAGATATGTGCTTAACATAATATATACTTAATTTAAAGAAAATTTTAAAGTTTGAAACTTGCATTTTAATGGTAAAATTTACATTCACATATGCATTGCTAAATTCATCATGATTTATTTTTTAGTTTTTACGTTCAGTATACGGCCCTTCAGTGGCTGAGCAGTAACTCTGAAGATTTATAACGCTGAAATCCGAGTGGTGGGCACAAAACAGATAGCCCATTGTGTAACAATTATTCAGTACACGAAACAGCACTGCGTTGATGATGTTTAGATTCCATCGATACGTTCTTAATCAGTGCTCGTTAACTTTATTTGAGCCTGATAAACCTATTAAAGTATGGGAGTGACCTCAAGGTTAACGTGTATGGACTGTACATCAGAAGATTCACGGCTTCCGTCCCATTGTTGCAAAAACACATTCCATACTTTGAGGCTATAAAAGTGGCCTTAAATCCCACTATTAAGTCAAGCAAGAGAAGCCGAAAATTTGGTAGTTGGTGTTGTTAAATAGCTGCTTTCCCTCCAGTCAGTCATTTCAAAACTAAGCTGGCTGTGAGAAGTTTGCGAGGGCTATCTGTGCTAGTCGTTCCTAAGTTTTTAGTGATAGACTAGAGAGAAGGCAGCTATTTAACAACACCAACTACCAACTCTTGGACTACTTACTCTTTACCAACGAATAGCAGGATTGACCATCACATTATAATGCCCCCATGGCTGAAAGGGTGAGCATGTTTGGTGATGGGATTTGAACCCGCGGCCCACCGATTCCGAATCAAGTGCCCTAATCACCAGGTCATGCAAGGCCGGCGCTAAGTAGATAGCCCTTTGTGTAGCTTTGCGCGAAAACTCTGAAACAAACAGTTATTATTAAACAAATTTCAACGTATTTATAACAAAATCTTAAAACATTATTTCGTTTTGATTTCAGAAGAACCTAAATGTCAGGAACAATGAAATACATGTTTAATAAAAGATCAACAGGAACATTTGTTTAAACAGCTTAATTAGTAACAGAAGTATCAGCATTAAACACCAATGACAAGAAAAAGTAAGATTTACTCTGGTCTTTTGATAACTGTACAGTTCACTTTAAACAGTTCCGAGAAATAATGCGTTGGGAATTTGTCTGACAGAATCTATCTATCAGAAGTATTATAGTTCTGGTATAAAACTGTATACAGGCTCGTTTCGCATGTACATGGCCGCTGAAGAGTCTTACACAAATCCCAAATCATATATAACATCTATTCTATTGTTTTGGTAATAATCTTTCTGAGAAGTTTAAAACGGTAGGTAGTTTCCTAAGATAGTATTTCTGAGCTTCAATAAACTTCGGTCCTACAATTTATATTTTGCATTCTGAAGCTTAACAGATACGAAGCCTGCAACATTCACACCATTAATTGAATTAGCTTTTCTTTGCAATCGCTCAGATACATGAGGAGAAAGGTTTGATTTACAAAAGTACGAGTGTTTAGAAATCAAAGTAAAGAATTTAGATAGGCCAACTTATTCATATCTCATTATGTAATGCTTAACGTTCTTTTAGCCCATTCTGACTTTCTTCAAATTTGCACACTCAAAAATTACTAAGTTATTTTCCGTGTTGGTGTCTCAAAAACCAGTGTAGGTTAACAATGAGTTTAAAAATAAGATTTAAGGAAACCATCGTCGTTTTTCACAAATTAAAGAGGTTTCATTGGGCCTTGATTTAGTAATATTGTGAAAGACCTGTTTGTAGGGAAATGTTTGGTCTACACATTGTGCCTGTGTATACTTGATTCACGTCTCTTTAGCTCAAAACGAAACAACACTATTAGTCAGTTCAAATACCTTATGGAGTTTACTGCTATCTCATGTCCATCGGAGTAAAACTTCTGAACGTAGAAATAACTGGTGTACTCGTGAGACACAAAAAATGTCGCTTTAATTGGACATCCATTCGGGTTTTGTCGGCTTTCATTCAGAACTCTTCGATATTTTTCGAAGTTGAGGAAGTTTTGACCTCCGTCAAAGGACATCAGTATCATCTGAGGTGTGTCCTCTGGGCTCAGATCACCAGGGATTCGGGTACCGTCAGAACAACAGAAACAGTCAGGTAACTGACACTCAGAAAGGTCACATTTAGTAGCTTCTAAGGGGTCCGGAGTGGGAGGTTCCGTTGGAGCTGAAAGTATGCATAAGTTATTATTAGTTTCTTACATATTTTACCTGTTTTGTAACTTTATTCGACGTGTTGTATTTTGAACAAAGTATCAGAGAAGAATTTACTCAATAGTGGCCTGATCACCAGTGTTAGTGTTGAGCCTGTGATGTTGAGATGTGAAAAATTAAATATGATGAAGTTTTGAACGTTATGTTACTTCATAATGTATGACTTATGTCTTTACACCCCATAAGTAACATAATTTAATGTATTTATTTATTAGATTATGTACATTTATGTATATTAGTTACTGAGTCATGTAAGTTATCAAAAACAACAAGTAAGTTAAATGGCTAGAAAAACTAAGACTTATCTCCAAGAAACATTCATTTAAATACACCACGTCACTATTTATGAGTTTCATAAAAACGACATGTACAATGGTAATCTTCCAATCAAAACCGTACAACGTTCACGTGTAAACTATAGTCTGTTTTGTTTTATGTAATAGCTTGTTTCATAGCAGATCATGGACTTTCTGATACATGTTACGTTCACAGTGTTGTTCATAAAATTACATGTATATACATGGTGTTGTTGTAAGGTTCTGCAATGACGCTTCTGCCCGTAACTTTCTGTAAACTTTATCGTGGAATTACTAAAATGAAACTTAAACACATTCAGCAAAGAATTAAGGGCAAAAGTGTCATTGTAGTATTTTACAATAACAACACGTTCTAATGTAAAGAAAAACCGAATCATGCACTTAATGATGACAATAAAGGACCTCTGTAATAACAAAATGAAAATAATGTGATGTTTCTATTATTATCTTTGGGAATTTGTTTATTATCTTACTTAATTATTGTATGCCTATTGTTGTTGAGATTATAGGCCACGTGTATTGTTGTTGCGTGGAGTGATATATTAAACATCTGATATCAATCTATGTTGTTGTTGCCTTCTGTTGTATTATATAAAACTCTGCCACTTTCTCTGTGTCATTTTCAGTTTGATTTGGACTATTTTAGTGCGATGTAGCTAATTTCTTGAAATAGCAAACTTTGGAATTAAGAACATTCGGCATTGTTATTAGTTATATTTAATATCACTTTATAACTACAACTAAACGTCTACAAGCAACTAAAACATTTTAACAATACTGTTCCTGAGGCATTATTGGCAAATTGAATTTTTGTGCAAAGGGAAGTTATACGACAACTTACCAGGTAATTTAAATTGGACGAAAGTGATCTGAAATGTTATCCAACTTCACGTTGCACATTCAACAACACTCTTACGCTGAAGTACTAACAGTTTTCAGTAATTTTAGGAAATCTTATTCCTATTTATCTATCAACTTCTACTTTTAATTATCTTGATGATCAATGATGCATAAATCTGGTTAAAACACAGAAAACTTAAACGGCAAGTATAATAAACATCCCGCTAAATATTTCAAAACTCTCATAAGGATAAAGGAAGAAAAAGATAACTTCAATACCTATAATTTTCTCGTTGCACTTGACATTGAAACCTGCTATTATCTGCTCTCTTTTTTATAAATTGTTTCAAAAGATACGTTGCTGTAGTGAGATATCTATATAAATATAATAGTACTGTCTGTTGTATGTTCATGTAACTACTTTGCAAGGTTTGGACAGATCTTCACCAAATTTGATATGGAGGTTCAATGGGTCCATGGGGAGATACATATAAATTTTCAGTTTTGTATATTTCGTTTTTTATTGGCGTTTTCGCTTTTTTAACATTACTTTATCCCCTGTTTATGGATCTTCACCAAATTTGGCATGAAAGTTTGTTGGATCCATGCGGAAATACATGAAAATTTGCAGTTTCACATTTTGTGTTTTGTAGTTTTTATGGGCGTCTTTTACAATTACATATAAGGGAAGCAACTTTTCATTAATCATTAATTTACATAACTTCCGTCCAGGGGACGGGTACTCCAACTAGTTATATCATATTGTAATATTTTTGATAATTTTACCCAAATATCAGTTTAAGGAAGGAAATATCTATTGTACAAATAAAGATGTAACTTGAAATTGGGTATCACCCTTTAAACTCTTACTTTCCCATACAGGTTAGGAAAAGCGAATTGTAAATAATTGTACTTAACTATACGCTTTTTTAGAATTGAATTGTATTATTAAGGATAAGGCCTAACGTGCATTTATAATAACGTAGGAATAATATTGTATTTCAAGGTACAATATTTGATGCAAACACTGAAACTCACTTTAATATAAATGTCCAGATTTCATATCTGTACATATATTTATATCCCCTTTTTTCCCCCATTAACCAAAGTTTACTATAAGATGTCTGATTAACACAGATTTTGAAAGTCATTTTCATCTTGTGAGACGCAAACCAACGATCAGTAAAACTTTATTAATGGTATTGTCTCTTTTTTAAATGGCTACTGCGGTCTTGCTGAAAATGCTGTCACGTGACTATACCTCTACAATCACCTGACGAATCATGATTTACAGCAATTCCAGGAGTCACTGTGGTTGATCTATGAACTTCTATTTCGATGTGATAATTCAGATGATCAATAACGCAAATCATATACAATTAAATAAAGTTTCTACAAATATTTATAAGACTAGAGAAGTTTTAATAAAGTGTTCAGTCAGGGAAATTGTCTAATATAATATTCTTATTAAGCTGTTTAAGCTGAATTTACCAACACGTTCACTCAAAAACGCAGTTAAGATATGCAGCAAAATGTTCCATAAGAACTGCGTATGGAGGAAGTAATTATTGTTTGTATACTTTATTATTTCTCAATTACTGCATTATCAAAATATCTTAACACATTTTTATTAAGTAGTTTAGTATTATTTCAACACCTTTTTCTTAAGTAGTTTACTATTATTTTAACACCTTTTTATTAAGTAGTTTGCTATTATTTTAACACCTTTTTATTAAGTAGTTTAGTATTATCTTAACACTTTTCTTAAGTAGTTTAGTATTATTTTAACACTTTTCTTAAGTAGTTTAGTATTATTTTAACACTTTTTTTAAGTAGTTTAGTATTATTTTAACTCTTTTCTTAAGTAGTTTAGTATTATTTAACACTTTTCTTAAATAGTTTAGTATGAGTTTTGAAAATACAAACAAGTATATATTAACAAATGTTTCAGCAACAATTTCCTGTTACAATACACTATTGATAAGTAAGCACAGCTTAATTATTACACCAAATAATTTAAGGAGCTTACCCCAAACTGTTGCAGGTGCGAGCGGTGCATCCATACCGAACCTCGCGATTGAATAATAACTTTTTTATTTAAGTTATATTTTTAATCTTTGGCCCTTGTCCTTTTTTATTGCATATATATATAATATCGGTATTGTATAAAGAGTTAAGTGTAATATTATACTAGTCAACTCAAGACAGTAGCAACGTTTGTACTTTGACAAGCAACTGAAGCATGATAAGTTGTCTCAGCTGACGTATTCGCCGTTTCAATGGATTTTTTCAACGCTTAAATAATCGCGAGAAAAAGCATGTTTAAAATGTTTTACAAACAGCGAATTACACGTAAAACAGTACCAATAGAACTGCGCCTATTCTGACTCGGGGAAAACCACTCGGAAACATTTTATTATCATGTATATTGTTGTTGATTCATCATAATTTTCACCAAACTTTTGTGTTATGCCCTTTAAAGATATATTGACTTAAGTTCTGAAACATCCCATACTAAGAGGTAATTTACTTCGATATTTTTTCTTTTTTTGTATAAAGGCTAACAAATTAGTCATTATACAAAATCGTTATTTTCAGCCCCTGTTCTTAAACTTTTACATTGCCCCCCACCCATCAAGACTGCCCCTGCACTGTCGTTTCATTATTTTGATAATCTTCAATGTGATTCTTGTGATACTTTACGATTAAAAATTTTGGAATATATATATATATGTTTCTATAGAAAGTTCTTAGATGACAAAACAAAATAGCAGAATAAAGTGACCGCAGGAGAAAGTAGGGAATAAATTTTGTATAAATCATAAGGATTCTAATTCCTTAAGGTGAGGCATGTTTTACAAGCTTGCCTAAACATTAGGCAAATATGATATAGGGTGAGTTGTAGTGCAAACCGTATTTTCTCAAACTACATAAAAAAAGCCTGTGTCTGATTAAGCACTCATTAGTTTCATACTATATTAGGTTTCTTGAGCCCAGCTAGGACTGGCGATGTTTAGAAATACTGTTTAAATAATTTTGTATGTCTCTACGAGTGGGAATAGCTTGATGCAGTTTTCATTCATATCTATACCTTTTCACTCTTTCAAAACGAAAAAATATTTCAGACAATGTAGCCTTTCAACTAGATATTAACCGCAAAATGAAACATTAGGTAATTAAATTGTGTCGTAGTGAGAATAAGGTAAACATTAGGTAATTAGTGATTACCTAAAGCTTACCTTATTCTCACTACGACATAATATAATTACCCAATGTTTACCTTATTCTCACTACGACATAATATAATTATCCAATGTTTACCTTATTCTCACTACGACACAATATAATTACCTAATGTTTACCTTATTATCACTACGATACAATATAATTACATAATTTACACTTTAGTCTCACTACGACACAATATAGTTACCTAATGTTTACCTTATTCTCACTACGACACAATAATTGTGTCGTAGTGAGAATAAGGTAAACATTAGGTAATTATATTGTGTCGTAGTGAGAATAAGGTAAACATTAGGTAATCATATTGTGTTGTGGTGAGAATAAGGTAAACATTAGGTAATCATATTGTGTCGTGGTGATAATAAGGTAAACATTAGGTAATCATATGGTATCGTGGTGAGAATAAGATCATCTTTTGTGAATGGTATTTGAGTTGTCCTTTACTCACTATTTGAGACTTGTGTGGTGTTGAGGGACAAACATTAGGTAGGTTTTTTTCTGGGAACAGGACTAACAACTGAAGAGTTGGTATTCTTCAAAACAAAGATTT